CTCCTCTGTATCGTTATCAGCAAGCCTCCGTATCAGCATACTCCTCCATATTCATTCGTATCATACGAGTGATTATATATGCTGGCATCTCATTCCCGTAACTTTATTGTTTTACCATGTTTCTTATAGTTCAAAACCTAACCGACTCTATGACTAAAAACATCCTATTGGAAAGTTTCTTCAAAATTCACCCCCCCAGACCCCCCCTTCCGCTGAGCGAACCATGTATATACGTACTCCTACGTGTAGATGTGAAGCATCGATGCTTGTTCGTACGAAAGCCCAATTTCATCACTCCATGCTTTTTGTTAGCATTTTTATTGTGATTTCTGACCATGGTTTGAACGATCATTGGTGCTTCATTTATTATTTGTTAGACTCGTATGATTCAATCCTCGTATCGTACTACCACGTGTAGAAATCATGTGTGCAATAAGCAGTTAGTGTAGTGTTGATATAACAAGTCAATACACTGTAATATACACTAGAGACTTAGCTAATATAGATATCACCATGGTATGAGGGCATGAAAGGGTGTTTTAATTGTTAAAGAAAAGAAGAAGTGTGACCAAACAGCTGATTGCTGTTTTACTGTATTTTCGATCGATTAACCTTAACCCTAATCAGTAAATCGTGCGAGGATACGATTCAACCCTGAGATAAGGTTTAACCTCAACCCTAATCGTACATCCCGTACCGTACGAGTGAAGCATCGATGCTCTTTCGTACGAAAGCCGGATTTCATCATTCGAACGATCATTGGTGCTTCATTTGTTATTTGTTACGTCGCACGCCACCACCAGCAATGAGTTATATATGCTGGCATCTCATTCCCGTAACTTTATTGTTTTACGATGTTTCTTATAGTTCAAAACCCTACCGGCTCTACGACTAAAAAGATTGCTCCGGAAAGTTTCTGGAAATTCCACCCCCCCAGACCCCCCCTTCCGCTGAAGCGAAAAAATTGCAGTCAAAAACTGTTTTAGTCTTCTTTTTTTAATTTTTCGACTTCCATGATTAGTACTAAAGTAGTACCATAGAATAACATTCAAATTCAAATTGGCAGATTCAATCAAAACTCAAAACCCTTTGAGAAGGAACTGAGGATTTAATGCATGATTCCCATAGATTTATTAAAAATTGAATTAGACTTCAGTTGTGCACACACAGAAGTATGATGTGTTTTTGACACAAATACATAGATTTTGGGTTGTTGCATGCAGGCTAACAATAACAAAAAGTAGTAGTACTGTGTATCATGCACACCACACATACTTTTTTGGAATCCAAAAATAATTTAGTCATGAGCTGGGGTAGCCCAAATTGGTGCACCACATGCATGAAATAATGTGTACTGATGAATTAGTGAATTAGAATGATGTTTAAGGTGAATTATAATGAATTATCTTACGTCCGAAGGTATAGTAGGTCTAGATCTCCTCTTACACAGCTCCCCATCTTGTAGTCAATCAGGAACTAGTTTCCGTAGTTCTGGTTCCCTGTAGATCTTAGTACAGATTCTACCAAGGGGCTTCAGAACAGAACTCTACTCATTAGTTCTGTTTGGCTTCTCATTTTGTAAGAAGGTGATGCCATCAATGAATAGGAATTCTCAATGATCTATTGTATAGGCTCGGCCAAGCAAAAAACACAATCCAATCCTACATTAGCAATCCTTTAGTATATACAGCCCAGTATAACTTTATATGATTAATAACATCCTATTAACCCCCCACATGACTATATTCGTGTTTAAACTCCCTTTTGATTCATGTGTTTATCATTCTTAAGCATCTGTTGGGGACCAAGATACAGCTTCAACTGTTAGTTCATCATTAAAACAGTTATACCGTTAAATAACATGGTGTAAATAACATGGTGTGTGGATAAATGGCCATCTTTTTACCATGTAATGACTCATGCTGGGATTAAAAATTCAACTTGTACTACTGGTACAGCAAAGGCACGTGCCCGCAAAACTTTTTTGTCGCAAGACTGGCAGGAATAAAATTTGAGCTTGTGCCCTGCTGTACTGGTAGTATGATTCAGTGTTTTAGTCAAAGTGGTCATTACACACAAAAAGATATCCTCCCATAATCCACGGCTGGATTGTAGATTTGCTAACCAACTCTATACGATGTGTAAAATGTAGTATATACAGTATATATGGTTTAGACCAGAACCTGTATATGTAGGTCCGGTTCCAGGGACTCGCAATTGATTCTAAATCTGTAGTAGTTTTCAACCGTACCATAGGTCTGTGGTTTCACGAGTGGTACACAAGTGATCCTCAGTACTGGCCCTACATGACCAGCCTCAGTACTGAGCCCATGTACTCATTGCACCAAAACAAATCTAAAGTGTCACTGATGTGTCACCACCAGGAGCTGGGGGAGCCAGTTCTAAAGTGTCCTCGTCACAAAGTGCGCCAAAACAAATCTAAAATGTCACAGCAGCCCAAAATGAATAACCTTGATGAGTACTACAATGACTGCCCTACCATGGCCTTAAAGAAAAGCAACAGCATTGTACTCCATGAGTCAGTAACAAAACCCCTGGGATAACTTGTTCTTTGTGATAGAGGACTCCCACCACTTCTGGTGTTGGTGGTAAGGGCGGTGTGGGAGAAATAGGAAACCGGAGTAGTAAAGTACAGCGGGTAAGTGTGACACAATTTTGCACGTCACGAAAACAAAAAAATACTGTGTTGTTGAGTGCCAATTACTTCGTACTGGAAGTACCGTACTACCAGGTACTCCATAAATTCAGTTTTCAGGTGCTAGTGTTCATTTGTCGTTTTCTTCTTCTCGTAGAGACGCCTGTAGAAATAATACCAGTTCGGAACCTGTCTGCGCTCAATTCGCAACGCAACCCTCTATTTGCACTGTATCATCTCTGTCTACAGTACTCGTATTCATTCGTACTCCTTTGTGGACCAATTGATTGAATCTCTTGATTCGAGATATTAAGAAACACAATCTGTTGTTGATTCCGAATATTCACCGTCCGGTTGTCTTTCACTGTACGGGGAAGACTCATAGGAAGGGATGACTCTGGAAGGTCGAATCAAAATATCCACCCACTGAATCTTCGCCAAAAGTAAAGAAACGACCTTGGGCGCGAATTTCTAGTAGTACGCGCTAGCGTGCGCTACACGACAGCACAACGAGAGAAGGGCATCACGATAAACACGGTCTCAGGGAAAATACACGGTTTGCTAAATTAAACCTACCTTTCCAAAACCTGAAACAGCTCTGGACCTTAATTCAAAACTCTACTCAATACCACTGCCGCTTGCTTGCATAGAATTGGTGAAGGTGCAGGAAAACGCGGACTGCTTTTTGCCTCAATTCGCATTCTATGAAGTAACTGTGAACGGTAACCATATCACAAACCGCAAACGCACCCAGCAGACACCAAACCTTACTAGTCTAGACTCTATCCCATTCCGGTCCTTTTGAAAAAGGAATTGGCGGCGAACACTTTTCAATATCACGATGAAAAATACAATGTGGCAAGAGCAAGAGTCGTGGTCTTCGATGTCGGCATCATCATTAACAGAGGTTTTCCCCGTTCAACAAAGATCCCTTGAGTTAGATAGCGACATGATTGTAATCGACGACGAATACTTTCAGGAAGATTCAACAGGTGTCTTGATTTCTTCCGTCATCTCCAACATTCTCCTCTTTTTCCTCATCTTTGGTCTATCAGCCACAGTTAACTTGCGAGATCTCAGACAACAATTGACAAACAAATTTGCCATCTTATCGGGAATTACGATGCAATTCTTTGTGATGCCGCTTTTGGGGTTCATATCTATTTGCATTTTCCATAATTTTGGTTTTTCACAAGCGATGGGCGTGTCGTTGCTAGTGGTGACGTCTAGTCCCGGGGGTTCCTATTCCAATTGGTGGTGCAGTTTATTCAATGCAGAACTGGCGTTGTCAGTAGCCATGACCTCCGTATCTTCGTTGCTATCGATTGGCCTGCTGCCAGCCAACCTCTTTCTTTACGGATTTTTGGCATATGGGGTAATTTTTGTTGAAGAAGGCCAGGAGGAAAATATTAATATTGTATCATCACTAGATTTTGGGGCCATTTTCATCACCCTCGGCGTTGTGATGGGAGCAATTCTCGGTGGACTCTTTGTAGGGTACCAATTCAACAGCAACCAATTTCACAAAAGAGCTAACTACTTTGGCAGCATCTGTGGGATAACTCTAATTTTATTTTCTGCCTTCCTGGGGTCTGGGGGAGCGAGTGGTGCCGAGACAAATTTTTGGAGCTTGCCTTGGTCATTTTATGTCGGAACTACCTTCCCTTGTATTATTGGAATGGCTCTGGCAAATTTAATTTCACGAAGTTTTAAGTTGTCCCCTCCAGAAGTTGTTGCAATTTCGATCGAATGCTGTTACCAAAACACAGCGATTGGGACAAGTGTAGCTGTTACTATGTTCAGCGACCCAAACAAACAAGCTGAGGCTGTTAGTGTTCCTCTTGTGTACGGAATGGTTGAGGCTGTAATAATAGGTCTTTACTGCCTATGGGCGTGGAAGTCTGGGTGGACTAAAGCCCCGGCGGATGAAAAGGTTAGTATTTGTGTTTTCACTATGTATTTCAAAACTTGTTATTTTTCTATTGCTGGTACAGTATTTTATTATTGACTGTCACTCATCCACCTTCGGTATCAACCGATCTTGACTTTTGTAACCGCTAGCTTTGCGTTGTAATGATCAGGACATACGAGGTGCACGACTTGGACTCCGAAAATGACGACGAAATGGTAGAGTTCGATCCACAAGTTGTAGAAAATCTAAACTGGTGGCAAAGGTGTTTCATTCCAAAATATCCTGACACTGTTCGTGGTAATGTAGAAGGTGCTCTCTCGAACGAGACAGAATCGCAGCAAAAGGGACAAAGAGATGAAACAATTGAAGAAAGAAGGTGTCGTTTTCATAGTGAAGATGTCACTGTGTCAACAAATCTTACAACACCGCCTGGAACACCCAACGTAACAAAAGTGTCTTCGGTTTCTTCGTCTTCGCAGAGTGTTTCGAACAAGACCACCAGCAGTAATACTTCCAAAACACCGTCCAAATCGAACGATGTGGAGACTCCTCTAATACGGAAAGCCATCTCTGCCATTGACGAGGAACCCGAAGAGGCCGAGAGGGCGTCCGAGGAAGGAAGAGCAACAAGCAGTAGTTGAGATATCGTCGTCGCAGACTTCATGGACAGCAGCTCAGAATTATCATCCGTAGGGGATTTTATTCTAGAATAATTTATTTCTGAGGGGATCATGGGTATTAATGATGGTAAAGGTCCATGGTGGGAAAAAGAAAATTGAAGTTGAACTCTTTGTATCCCTTATCAGCATGTCGATGGTGTAAGTGGGAACCCTCACTATCGAGGAAATATCGAGAAGCACAAAGAAATATTTAGAGCTTCAAACGATTAAATGTATAATTAATAAGTTGCAATAGAAGATTTACTGTGGTTTTTCATCGTACTCGCTAAAACTTGTTGTATGTGGAATTCCAATTTATTATTGCCAAGTAGCGAAAAGTAATATCTAGTGCGTTGGTTCATAGAGTCGGACTAATCTGGACTCGGGACAAAGTTTACCTGTCACAGGACATGACTCATAATTTTGTCGGAGGAAAGTTAGAATACACTTTAGGCAGAAAACGAAACCACCAGTGGAAGCCGTTGGATGAATATGTGGTTCGTTGCACAGCGGGCAAACATCTCGTTCGCTTTTGACAATATTCCTCAATGTTCTGTGTGAGATTTTGCTATTACTACGGCGAAGAGGAGCTGGACAGGGTGGTGGAGGAATCATTTTGTTGTTTACAGCGCTTGATAATATTCCATTTCTACCATCATCTGCAATGTCATTTGCTAGGTGATTGGATCGTTGTCCTCGCAGTTGTATTTGTCGAAGTTGGTGCGATTCTCGTTCTTGTTGTAGTTCTTGCCGTATGGATCGAATACGCGCAATCCATGCCAATACGATGCTCGACGATAGAAGTCCTGCCGCAGTCAATCGTATCCCGCTTGATCCAACAAGATTCGACAACTCTTTCCGTATGGACTCTATTCGGATGTTCTTTAAATCTGAAGGATCAGTGACATCACGAATTTTCGTCTGCGATTTGCTTTGGTGTTGCTGTTGCTGTTGGTCTTCCATTGTCACTCTTCTCACAACTAAATCTAGCCAGCTTGAATAGGGGTCAAAAAAGATAGTCTTTCCGAGTAAATACCGCCATCGATACCAAAAAAATGACAGCTTTGTTGAAGTGCGCAGTAAGGGCCACAAAATGCTGAGAATGATTTGCAATTTGCTGTTTCTTGAAGTAGTATTTGTTATTGCCCTGGATGGTTGATCCCCGGACGGCAACGAAAACAGCCGGGAAAAAAAATGAAAATAACTTTGAGATCTTTCTTCGAGATATGGCCCGATTGCCATGAAAAATGCGAGACGTATGATATCAGATTTTTCGATCGGTTGTAAACTTCTTCTTTCACTCTGTTTAGAAGGACTTGGTTTGCCTAATTTCTCCCGCCTTCCTCCATACAACGATTCCGAAATGGTTGCTTTTGAATAGATCAAAGAGCTTCGTTCCAAAACATACAACAAAAGGAATCGTATTTCTGGACCAAACGGACGGAGTACATTTTGGAAGAAAGCTTTCGTTATTCGATGAGGCCACCGTCGAAACAACGTGTCGAATAATTTATTTTTTCCCTCAGCGCCGCCAACGCCGGTATTATTGCTATTTGAATTTCGTATTTCGATTTCTTCTAAAACTCGGGAAATCCGTTCTTCTACAACCAAGAACAATGATTTTAAAGTTTTCCAGCCAGACTTCCGCGCTTCTTCCATCATCATCCGCTCCAGAAACGAAGGAAGCGTCGACGTTTGATTTATCGTCCATTCTTCAGCAAGCAATGCCCCGATTGAATCTGGACTCGCGGGATTTGCTTGGGGAGAGGCAGGAATTGAAATCCCTTCTAAGGCTGTATTATTTGCCATTGTATTGTCATCGTACGGGTGTTGTTATCAGTTCATGATGTGACGAATCAATTCTTGGAGTGGAGACTGAGTCGGTTAGAATAGACAACATAAATTGATTTTTATGTTTCAGAACAATCCACAATTCAGGGGGTCATAAATTTAGGGGTGCGGTGAAGTCCGGTACGTACGGTACCTACGAGGTTGGGGTGCTTCATTCGGTGATTCCCGTTAATAGAATTGCTAAACCCATAGATTTAGCATATTTATTACTTTAAAAATATTTTATAACAATGGGAATCAAAGTTTCAATAGACAGACTGAGAGGAAGGCTGGCTGTTGTTGGGAATCTGGAATCAACATAAGGACTAAAAAGAGGCACACGTGATTTTTGTTTTGAGTCGTCCAACTTGTCATTCCTGACTTCCATCATAAAATTTATTACGTTTGATAGCACCAGTTTGACCTCGATCAAAAGTAACAAATTTTGTTATTAATGTGCTAAATTTTTGGTCTATCAGTCTATCAAAAGTAGCTCATCTAGCATAATAAAGGGAATCACCCATTATTGCGTTGATTTTCTACTTCTAACTAGTTATGAGTCACAATGGGTCATTCCCCTGTAAACATATATCCAGGTATGATGTAATTGTGAATCACTTTCAGTGGTTCCAAAGGCTCAACAGGCTGGCTCAAATTACATATTTTTCCCCCATTTTTGAAATTTGGAATCCCGTATAATTGGTCGCTAAATTGACAAGATTCCAGTGGCGCAAACAATTTGGGATTTTCACTAAACCAGCTCTGTCTCCAAAAAAATCAAAATTGAATCCTCCTCTGAAACTAAATCCTCCTCCAAAACAGTCCCTATCCTCAATAATTGGCCATCAATTGCTCCTTCACAGAAAAAAAAACACTTTGACAATCATGTCCCTCGAGTTGGTTTTAATTGCATGGGCAGCTGCCCTCCAAGAAGAAGAACAACAACAGGAGCAGGAAGAGGAGAAGATATGTCATCAACTCTCCTTTGAGGGCAAGCATCAAAGAGACATGAGGATGCCAAGGATTGCACTCATGAAAGTGAATGCCTCTCCATACATTCATTGTTTTGGCTCTGGTGGTGATGATCAGGCTCCTTAAAATTGCTGTGGTGTTGTCCATAGTGTCTTTAGAAACCTCCTCTCCAGTGTTTGATAGATACACTGTGGACAGATACACTGATCAAATCAGATCTTGCCTATTCACCAAGAAGGGCAAACCCAATGGCAAAGCAAGAGAGGTAACTGCAACCATTGGAATGGCATTGGTCTTAACTTGGTACAGGACAAGAGGATCAGCAGCTAGGGCCTTGTCTATGGTGTTTGGGCTTACTTCGACACCCCTCTATAGATGGTTGAAATTTTCTAGACAAGTCCTTCTTTGTGTGGTGCAAAATCACCAATTGCAATCATTAGACCCCCAACAGAAGAAGAAGTGGAGGCATATATGGCAGCAATAGAAAGAAAGTATTGCAAGTATCCTACCCTTGGAACCAAAAGATTATGGGGTGCAGCAGACGGCCTCAAAGTTAAGCTTGAGCACTCTACCCATTGGGCCATTCAGAGCATGTACTATAACTTGTGGGTCATGGATACTTACATTCATAGTGTCATTCTCTTTGCCCCAGACTGACAAATCCAGATGGCAACATTTAACTGTCCTGGGACTTTTCACAACAGCACCATGGCAGATTATGGCATATATGACAATTTGGAGGCCATATATATATATATCAGGAGTAGTGGTTCAGTTGTGGTTGATTCTGCATTTAAGGTCAAAGGGGCCAAATATCTCATTCAGAGCCAGCAGAATGACCCTGACAATTTTGTCACTGTGGAAGAGAACACCCAGACTATTGTAATTAACAGGGAAGCAACAGCACTCCAGCAGTTGTCTGAATGGGGCATGCAAATTATTCAAGGGCAGTTCCCAAGAATGAAGGAGAGACTTTTACTGGAAATTCCCTCATGAGTGATACGAGTGGCTTTGAATCCTTTGAACAGCTGAGGGAATCCTAAGCCAGCAGACAGATAGGACACTTCTCCTGTAGACTTCAGCCCAATGGGGACACAAATAGCTTGTTCCCTGGCTTATTCTGGGTAGATTGTTGATTGCGTAGATTGTCAATTGTGTCAGAGGAAAAGCAAATTGTCAATTGCTGTCAATTGCCACCCATGGTTGAGTTCATTGTTGTTTTAGTTATCAAATGTGGTTTAGTTCTTTAATGGATGATTAATAGTACTATTGATTATTGCTACTACAATTAGATTATTGTACTCTAGTTACTCAAGCTAAGATTATGAAGAGTGAAGGATGAGCTAAAAGAGGATCCTAGTAAAAAGCAGCCTACACAATACACCATGTTATTTGAGTTCCTTCCCCACTATAGTGTTGTGTTATTTTGTGCTGCTGGTTTTCATGGACACCTTCCCACAAAAAAACAGGATTGGTAGCAGAGAGGGAACGCATTGCACATGGAAGCAATCCCACATGATTGCTGGCACGCTCTGCTTTACATAGAGGTAACACATTGCACATGGAAGAAATTCCACACAATTGCTTTTATTTTGATTTACACAAAGTATCGCATAGACTGGATTTGGAAGCAGTATACTGCAGTGTTATTCAGTACTCATAAATCATAATTAGATCAAACAGCAAACAGCAGCACAAGGTGCAAACAGCAAACAGCAAACATTAGTTTTACTTAGTAGTAAACATAATTAGTATTTAACCATGGGATTAGATAGAATTGTCATCTGAGGAAGAGGATGAGGAGGATGAGGATGAGGATGAGGATGAGGATGAGGA